CACCAGTTTGTTACACTAAGTATAGGCACTTGCTTCTAAGTCAAGAGAATGTGATGCATCGTTCATATGATTTTTATTATTGCCATAATAACCCTGGACCCAAAAGGCATTGGGTACCAAGATTTTCTTCGTAGATTCGTTAAGGAAGGTGTGCTTGAACACTTCGACTTGAGTTGAAGTAGATGCACCAAGCACATAATTGGGTGAAGCATCAATTAAGGGGGAAGTTGATTCACTTTATTAATTCCAACTAATGTTGATTTATATTTTAGTTGGACAATGTGATATTATTTGTTTGTTTGATATCTATTTGCATGAGCATATATCTTTTTGCCAATCTCTTTTTGATAATGTCAAAAGGGGGAAGATGGTGTAGATATGCATATATTCAGGGGGAATTGTATTTGTGCATATCTTAATGGGGAAGATAGTATAGATTTGTATGTCTTTGTTTGATTTATAATGCAATACTTGAGGGGGAACTAGCCTTGTATGATGCATATCTCTTAATGGGTTTGTCATTATCAAAAAGGGGGAAATTGTTGGACAATGTGCTATCATGCATATATATTTTTGCAATGTCCTTTGCCCATTGTATTTTAGGTTTTGATAATGACAAAAGAGTGACAAAATATCATCATCATTTTGTGCATCAAGGCTAAGAATCAAAGCTACAACAAGTTCATATCCGTCCGTGAAGAAGGGACTTGAGCATCGGTGGAAGGAACGAGACCGAAGAGGTTATTTCCTTAGTTGCGTAGTGTTTTAGGTCTTAGATTATGTGTTAAATAGTATGGCATCTCTAAGGTTCATTCCCTTATCATCTTACCTTTAAAACTCATTTTAGATCAGCCTTTGTGTGGGGAAGCTGCCTTTCTATTCGAATAATCTTTAGTTTATTCGAATAAGTCGTGATCTTTCCTGTTGCTGAAATCAACCTGATTTATTCGAATAAATCACCACTTATTCGAATAAGTCCTGGCTTTTCACCCTGATTTATTCGAATAAATGGTTATTTATTCGAATAGGAACTGGTTTTTTCAAGCCACGCGATTGATCCAAACTATTCGAATAGTTCTTGAGTTATTCGAATAAGTCGACAGTTTCAACTACCAAACGGCTAGTTTTTTGAATCCTTTTCATCCCTATCCACTCCCCAACTTCTATAAACTATCTACTTTCGAGATTATCTTTAGAAGAACACTTAGAACACTTTGAAGAACATATCCTTTGAATATCCAAAGAGATTCTACTCAATCCCCTCCTTATATCCAAGCAAGGCAATTGTTTTGATTCCAAAATCATTTCTTGCTTGAGTTTTTCCTCATTGCTTGAGTCTTTGAGAGATATTGCCATATTCTAAAGGACTTCATTGTATTTGCAACAATCTACTCCGTGTTGGGAGAATTACTCGGTTGCGGTTTGTTTTCTTACTTTATTGTAAGGGATCTGTATTCTTGGTGTTGAGATTACACCAAGTGGTAGAAATCCTAACGGTTTGTGAAATCAAACGTTAGGTGGAAGAAATCCCGAGTTTTGTGAAATCAAAACTTTGGTGGTAAGATAAGAGGCTTGTGAAATCAAGTTCTCGAGTTGTATTCGGATTGTCAAACTCCGTTAAGTTTGACGGGTTAGTGAAGGCCTGGGCACGATTGCTTCGGGGACTGGATGTAGGCATTTAGGCCGAACCAGTATTTATCGTGTGTGCATTGCTCTTATCCTTCACTTTATTTTGTTTGTGGTGCATTGTTTTTTGTTGAATATTCGTGAAGAACGTTTCTGTGCAAAAAAAAAACGGTCTTTTGGGCAACACCTCTATTCACCCCCCCTCTAGAGGTGTGCGAGGCGTCTAACACTTGCTGATGATAAGGAATTTATTAAAGGTATAAAAGAAGCTGCTGAGTTAGGTTCTTGGAATCAGCTTAGAAAGTTGTTCGTCACATTATTAGTGACAAATACCATGAGTCGCCCGCAAGTTGTTTGGGAAAAATCATGGGAACGCCTGGTGGATGGAATTTTATTTGATCAAAGGAGACTATTACGTAATAAAGGTATATCAATAGAGAAATAGTTTTTTAACATATTAATCCGTACATAATGCATTGTCTTGAAACCTACAAGTTCCATTATTTCTATTTCTTTTTTCAGAGCTTATAATTTCTCAAGAAGACCTAAAGAATTTATGTCTGATTGAGATTGAAAAGTTGCTTAATTCAAATGGACGGTCTTTGAGGGAATTCAGTTATAGCCATTTCCAGATGACAGTCCACTCAATACATTTCAAAACAATTTATTGGTTGAGGAGTTGAACTATGATAAAGAAAAGTTGTCATCTGATCTTATGGGATACTTATCTACGATGAATGAAGATCAGCGGAAGATATACGATGAAATAATGGAAGTTGTGACTGCTGGAAAAGGAGGATTCTTTTTTGTGTATGGTTGCGGTGGAACTGGAAAAACATTTCTTTGGAAATCATTGTCTGCTTCTCTAAGATCAAGTGGTAAAGTTGTCTTGAATGTCGCATCCAGTGGGATTGCAGCATT